GCATATACTTGGGGTGTGTTTTATCATCCATTCAGCTCATCTATGTCTTTTATGTGGGGCATTAAGGGCACTCATGTTCAGTGTTAGTACTGATATGTGGAAACCGTTCTGTTCATCATGTTGGATGGCACCTAGTTGTTTTGTTTTCACTCTTGTGTTGTTGTTTTATAAGAGCTGTGAGCTTGAACTTTTATGTGTGTTTTACACTTTTGGGTATCTGTTGTGCCGTTCCGTATATAATGCAGTTCTGAGTATTTCCTGTAAGGGAGGTCTGGCAGTGAGAAATTCTCTTGTTGTTTGCTTGTGTGGAAAAGTCTTTATTTCTCCATCATTTATAAAATTGATTTTGCAGGATACGAAATTCTTGGCTGATAGTTCTGTTTAAGAAGAGCTGATTAGGTCTCCACTGAGAAGTCTGCCATTAGCCTGATGGGTTTTCCTTTGTATTTTAGTTGTTGCTTTCATCTTGCTGCTTGTAGAATTTTATACTTCATTTTGACATTGGCCAGGTTGATGACTATGTGTCTTAGAGATGTCCTATTTTGTATGAATCTTCCTGGTGTTTGATCACCTTCTTGTGTCTGAACATCTGATTCTCTGGAGATAGCAGGAAAGTTTTTCTCAATAATTCCCTTGGATAGGTTTCCATGCTTTTTCCTTTTTCTTCTTCTCCTTCAGGGTCGCCTATAATTTGTATATTGGCTCCCTTCACACAGTCCCGTGTTTCCCTGAGTGATTATCCATTCTTCTTTATTCTCTTTTCTGCATCTTTGAATTACTGGGTTATCTCTACAGCCCTGTCATCAAGCTCTGAGATTCTTTCCTCCCCTTGTTTTAGCCTGTTATGGAATCTTTCTGCTGTATTTTGAAATTCCCTAAATGAGTTTTTCTTTTCTTTAACTCTGTGGCATCCATTCTTATATTGTCTTTCTCTTTAATGAGTTTTTCATTTCGTTAATTGATGTCCTGAAATATGTTTCTGACTTCTTTGTGTTTGTTTTCAACTTTATCTTCAATTCCATTCACCTTATTCACCATCCATATGTTGAATTCCACTTTTGACATTTCAACAATTTTCTTTTGTTGGGGCCCATTGCTATAGATCCATTGTTATCCCCTAGGGGTGTCAAACTGTTTTGGG